CAAAAAGGCTAACGCCGGATAGCTTAACCATCAGAACTGAGTGAGAAAATATAATAACAGTCAACGTCGCTGTCAGAACTCTCAAACTCTATTCTTACATACAAGTACCTCATTCACATCCTGGTGAGAGTTAACGAAAAGTAGAATTACAAGTACAAATCATACCGTAAGATAATGGCTTAAGTAACGTAATCGTTGCACATTTATCTTTTCAATATTAAATATTTAGGACAAAAAGTTGCAGTTAGGACTTGCATCTATGTGCATAAAAATGAAGATTTCAAGGTGTACGTCTCCATGTTTACTATACTCATATTTTTCCTTTTAAGTTCTATATATGATAGATTTTGATAGCTAATGGAGAAATAATAATTCTCTTTGTCCAGTAGAGTATAATTCATCTAATAGAGATAATTCGTTTAAAAAAAAATAATTTACGCAGTAAATGAAACATCACAAAAGGTTAACGACTGAAATCAGTGGATTGATCTGCATTAGCCCGATGTGAAGCTAAAGGAAGCACGATGAGATCACAGACTCGTCAGAAGCGTGGCATAACTGATTAAATAATTCAGAAAGAAACAAGCATCTCATACATTGAAACTTTTGATCATTCTCGAAGAAAACATTCAAACCCCCACATTACGAGTAGCGGCTGTCAAAATAGACAGCGAAAACACACGAACTTAAACAAAGTCATAAAGAAGGCAGAGGGGATACTTTTCAATGTCTTAGAAAATACGATAGACGTGTAATAAACAAAATACAGGTTTTTTAAGTCTGATGAAGGACTACTAATCGAATAACTTTTCGTATAAGATGAATTTCTTAGTCTCTACAGTGCATTTTAATGACAAGGTCAGTTTTACTGCTGCCGCTTAATAATCTCTGATTACTGTACAGTAAATGTAACCAGACTTCCTGTTCTGAAAACGTGGTATCCGACTGAACACCCGATTTACGAATAAAACTGTGTTTAGAAATTAAAAACTAAACTACATTAAAACAACAAGTATCATCTACTTTAACTAGATGATACTTATTTCTTGTTAAATCGAAAATTATTGTTTGTACATATTGCATAGTTACTTAAGTTAGAGACTAATGCTGCAAACAACTGAACTATACGAAGTGTTTCTTACTGCTGTCCCCCACTTTATATTTAAAATTTGACCAAATCATTCTTTTCCGTTTCGTTTCCTCTGTTCAAAATCCCTCTGCTTCTTCTGATATCCCTTGTCTCCTTACCAGAAACTTTTGATAATTTGCCTTGCGTATTTTATTTTCTGCATAAAATGTCATTATCCAAAATCGTGAATATATGCTTTTCTTGATAATTTCTCAATATAACGCATTTTAATAAATATTAATTTTGTATGTGAGTTAGCTAAAAAACATTTAAGCATAAAACAGTTGTTTGCGACATTTTCCTTCTTAAAGGAATTAAGAGAAATATAACTGTATCACCTGTACAATTATTAGCAAGGAATTTTTAAAGAACAAAATTCTAAATACGTTTCTTTTATAAATGATATCTCCTTGGTGTAAAATTCCTATTCCAGCTCCTTAGAACAGATATTTTTTTTTTTTTTTTTTTTTTAAGTATTTAAGTGTGCTCTTCAAGGTCCATTAAAATAAGTAAATGGAACTGCTTATTTTGCCATAAAATCGTGTTGCAAAAGTATTTAACTTTTTGTTTTCCTTGCTGTAGTAGCCTTTAAATATTTTAAATGAGAAAAATTTTATTGCATTTTAAGAAACTTGCGTGAGTACCCTTAAATTTATCACATGAGCTCTACATGAACGGCACTTACTGTAAACTGAGTTTAGAGGAGAGAAAATTGTAAAATGGCATGTCATGATAATTCTGAATTAAAGAGGCTAGTACGGCATTCTAAGACAAAAGAGGAATGAAATGTTTCACGCCCCAATACAGCTTCACAACATATTGCCACAAATTTGCACGCGGACGGAATATTAATTTGAAGGTCATTTTCGATGTTTTGCTTTTATTAACAGTTGTTTTAAAATCTATTTCTTTTTTTTTTTTTTTTTTTTTCCTACACTACGATGTTGTCTGACACCAACAGTAGTGACCCGTCAAATAATGATTTACCATCGTTGAATCCGAGCACGAAATAATAGCGGTTTTTTTACGTCATTCCCATTTTTTTTTTTTTTTTTTTTTTTTTTTTAACGTGTTGTAAGGAACGTGTTTTGTGCTATTTAAAAGTGAAGAAGCTGTTCTTTATACCGGCACAAAGACTAAAGTACGAGGTATCCGTGAATATCTGTTTAGCACGAGTAATAACAAATGTAGACCCCGAGGTAGCATAGTTTTATGTTGTTTTAGATGCTTGTTTTCTTGTTGTGTGAGCGCTTTTTTTGGGGGGGAGGGTAAGTACGTAGAAAAATGTGTGCACTCTTTTATGTGTATTGCATACTTGCTTATTTTAAGAAGACTGGCAAGTTGCAAATTTCATGTTTGCAGCAATGAGTAACAAAATATTATTTAACATACAGATTTGTTAGTAATTTCGACTTAAAGTTTACTTCCAATAGCCGGAATTTTATTGTCAGTCAGAAAAGGAAAAGAAAATTCTCATTATTTAAAACAATTTAACTGATTATTATTTGGTTGCACTAATGCTTTTCTACTTTTCATATCAGTATATGGCGGAGTAGGTAAAAGACGACAGCATTCGAACTTTATACGTAGGTGTTAGCAACATCTACAGTTTTTCCATATTTTCACGCCTTTGAATTGCGTTCCAACAGCACAAATCGTTCATGAAACCAGGTAAATTGCCAGCGCTCAGAGCTAATAATAATCTTTTTTAATTTATGTTTCAAATTGCAAAATAAGATAGCCAGTAAGAGTAATAAACTGAACGATTTAAAACCATTAAGCGAGTTTAATACTCTTACCCTATATTTTTAATATCTCTTTGATAATTGATAATGTATCTTACAAATCACTTTCTAAACCTTTGGCGTAATTCATGCAGGACATTTATGCTGCTATACATCAGGTGCTTGTCTACAGTGCAATACTGGAAAGAATGTGCCTTACTTTACTTTTTAATTAAAATTTATATGAATATTGCAACGAAATTTTGCATTAACGACATTGTATTAAAATTACAAATAAATAAATAAATAAAATTTAAAAAAAGCTGTTTTGATAGAATGAACCTTTTTTTTACCTTCTAGATGTTTCACTACTCAAATATGAGGGCTGATTTTAAAGTGATTAAAATTGATTTATTTGTCACTATTTATTATCTATTTATTTAGGTTTTTAAAGAAATATTTGGATTTCAATATCACCTTTATAAGTTCTTGCCCGCTATTGGGTGCTTAAATTCACCACAATTATGTTGTTTTTATTACTTGGCGTTGAACCTTTATATTACAAACATTCTTTTTATTGATTTGACATAATAATTTAATCAGATCCACAGTCTTCTCGCAGTTTTGACACAAATATTAAGAAAAAGTATAGCAGTCTTTATAATTTTTATTTATTACGTGCTCCGCCCTTAGGCACTACACGGAAAGGGAGGGATGCCCCGTGGAGGTCTTTTTAAGGGAAACTGGCTCGTATCCACGTTACAGATGGGGAAAACCACGAAAACGCCCATGCAGCCAGCCCGTTCGCCGGGACTCGAACCCCGGAACGAACTACCAGTGTTCAGCGGCTTTTACCGCTCGGCCGCTGGTGGGCGCAGTCTTTATAATGTAAAGCGTTTTACTGTGTAATTCTCCCGAAAGAATCGGTCATAATTTGCAATTTATTTAACCAAGAAATGTGCGTTTAACGTACGGAAGCGCTTGAGAATGTAGCCTTATTCACATAAGTTACTAAAATTGTACCATTATTTGCCTCCAGATACACTCGAAAACGAAACTGCGTATTATCAAAGGCCCGTCGAGGAATGCGTAATCAGTAATCCGAATTGCTTCACTAATACTTGTGTATTTCTTGTTCTAAAAGGCTGCAAAACACCAAGCAACTCGCATCATTTCCTAGAAACACGCAGTACGCTGTAAACAAGTTAGAAATTTTAATTCCCATGCACAACTTTTTAATCGGAGATCCAAAATGTGTCTTTTAGTATTATGTTGGGGGTAGCTCAGTAAACCAGAATAAAAATTCACGATTATAACAGATTTCTTTCTGAAAAACTGATTAAAATACCGATTGAGAAACGTAATCTAAATCTATGCAGAATTCCAGGAACAGTTCAGGAGTGTTCGAATTATCGCAGCATTTTCTAATTGTGGTAGTTTTATGTCTTCTAATTGAGTCTTACGTTCCTAAATATGATACTCTAAGCATCAAGTAAAAAGATAAATTGTGATCATTACATGTAAGCAAATAGAGAAGAGTTAAATAATGGTGGACTAGTGACCAAAGTTTTATGAATAGAGGGGTTCCTAAAGAAAACCAGCTACTGCACTGATTCGAAGTGCAACTAATGGTTTCGAATTTATTCTCGAACCTGATATTGTAACGTTTTACTTTATCTTTTCTTCCTTCAGACTTCTTCAGAAATTCATACTTATTCCCTTTATAAACTGCATTATACAGTTTTTCCCAAAACATCCGCTGTACCTATTCAGTACATACAAACAATATGAATGATGTTCATAAACACGGCGAAACACCTTAACATGTATACATACGAGTATTATTATGTGTCTTAACATTTAACTACCGTGCATTTTACCTGGGTCAAAATCGCTTGAAGAAAAACCATTATGTGTCTATGTAGAATGCAGAGGAAAATACAGTTGATTCTTTCTTGAAGAATTATCTTTGAATGCTCTTTTCGATGATCGAGTATTTAAAATAAAGAAGAGATGTAAGTAAAACTGGACTTTTTTATATTTTTTAATTTATATAGTTTTTTTATTTATTCCTATGAAATGAATTTAAGTGGATATATATTTTATTTACATTTACTAACGGTTTTCTTTCTTTTTCTCCTCCCCAGCTGAAAAGCAGAATTGTTGATGAAGTGAATCCAGAAATGAAGGATGATTTTTATTTGTATCTCCGCTTTCTTAGAGGTAAATGAATGCATACCTTATTAGTGTGCTTATTTTATCACATTAATTAATATAAATTAAAGGATAACCTAATATCACAGGGAAAGAACATATGGTCGTTCTTGCTACAATAGGTCGTACGTCAAAAAATGATCATTTTTAAAAATTATAGTCAACAGGAAAAAAGGTATCTAGATTCCCGTAAAAAGACATTTACATGGCAGGAAATTGGGGTATAAAATAGGACCATGAGTAATTGCATCCAATGTGATTAAAACTTTATTAAATCTTTTCTTTTTCCCTTCTGTCCTGCAAAATTCGTTCGACTCTCTTTTTCTTTTCATAAAACTTTCCTACTGGAAAAAAAGTGTAAATTCGGAAATATACTCAAATGTTAATACTTTTCCTCATAATTACTGAAATCTTACGTAGTTATAGATGACTACAAATAAGACCAGTTTTTTTTGTCAATATTCGTTATCACTATTTCATTGTTATTTTCTTACCTCGCGTTACAGAGAGTAAGAAATCATGGTAAAACTAGTGAAGGCGGGCAAATTAGAGAACAAAAACTTAATATTGAAATTATTTAACAAGCTCAACTCTATTTAAGGGTAAGCTAATTTTATATATTCGTATTACTTAAAATTTCTTATTCTTCAGAATTTTTTTCGTCTCTCAATATAAAGATTGAAGCTAATTTTAGTTCGTACTCAAATTTTACTTGTATGCTAATGCAATACAAATTGGACATACGTAGGTAAGTTGAACAATAAGTTTCCCCTGTCGACTGTGGTCAGAGTTGTGTATGAAAGTCAAAAAATAGAATGAGACATTTGTCATATCGCTTGATAAGCTTCAAAAAGCCCTCCAGGAAAAAATCAGGGCTTTGCATATGGAAGAAGGGTTGAAGGGCTTGTTTCACTTCAGTATTGCTTCCAAAGCGCCTTCCCCCGAGATTTTTCTTCAAAGCTAGAAACAGATGGAAGTCGCTTGGTGCGAGATCAGGACTGTATGGCGGATGGTGTAGGCGCTCCCAACCAAGAGTTGCAATATGGTTTTGCCTTGTCGTCGCCGAATGTGGTCTGGCATTGTCATCCAACAGCAGAACGCCAGATGTGAGAAGGCCAGGCCGCTTTTTCCGAATCGCCTCTTTCAATTTTGACAGAGTGTCACAGTAGCGCGTAGCATTGATGGTTCCAACCTCCAAAAAGTCCAGCAACAAAACTCCTTGGGCGTCCCAGAAAACTGTGAGGAGCACTTTACCTGCAGAGGGAGTTGTCTTGAACTTCTTTCGGACAGGTGATGACGGATGTTTCCACTCCATAGATGCGACCTTCGATTCTGGCGTGAAATGGTGGACCCACGTTTCATCCCCCGTCACAATCCGAAACAGAAAGTCATTGCCATCTTCATGATAACACACGAGATGTTCCAAGCTGACCCCCATGCGTTGTTCCTTGTGTGTCGAGGTCAATTGTCGGGGCACCCATCGTGCTTACACTTTTCTGTATCGAAGAATGTCGTGGATGATGTTTTGAGCTCGCTCATGTGAGATTCCAAGTTCTTCCGCTACTTCATCGATGGTGATACACCGGTTCGCTCTAATCATGTCATCCACCTTCCAGTCATGATCTCGCACCGAGCGACTTCCATCTGTTTCCGGCTTTGGAGAAAAATCTCGGGGAAAGGCGTTTTGGAAGCAATACTGAAGTGAAACAAGCCGTTCAACACTTCTTCCATATGCAAAGCCCTGATTTTTTCCTGGAGGACTTTTTGAAGCTTATCAAGCAATATGAACTGTCTCAACGTACTCGTACGAGAATAATAAAATAAAGGTATGTCATATCTTTAATGTCTCATTCTATTTTTTGACTTTCATACACAACTCTGACCACAGTCGGCAGGGGAAACTTATTTTTGAACTTACCCTCGTAGTATCTACTTTCTTATGTTACTTTGTTTTTGATTTAGTTATTCTTTCTATTAATGCTAACAGTAGTTGCAACTTCACCTTTACTTAAATTGCTAAAGTACAACTATCCTTTCCTTGAGCTAGAAAAGGAGAAAAAGAAGAAAGAATGAAAAGAAAATAGGAATACTGCTCGTAATATATACAAATAATTGCTTCAGTTTAAAAGCATTTCTCAAGATTTTAGCTGCTGTTAATGCCATTTTGGAAGCTGAATTAAAAAATGACATTGAAAATTTTGTATCACGGATCAATTTTTGGCAATCTTTTTTAAAAATCGTACACTAGGCACGCTTACATTTTCATGTTGTAATTATAGTACAAAATTTAAATTAGTTACAAAAATAAATGAAAAAATTGGATGGATGGGGAATGCATTCAGAATTTACTACTAGTTTTATTACAAATTATTAAATTCTAACTTTTAAAGCGGTCTTTCCCTCCAATGATGGGAACATATTGCCTCTGCAGGCCATTCTATACATCTCCATACAACGTTATGAAGATATCAAATCAGTCTTTACTATATAAAATACAAAAATCATGAATAGAAGATTTTTAGAAAAAATATTGTGTATTTTTCTTCTATAGCAGGTAGCTATACTAATTTCCCATTCATCATGTTTGAGTGACAGTACAAAGCAAAAAGGCTACACTGGAAGCAAAACATCGGGAAATTTTGTTAACATCTCAGCATGTCAAATTTTGTTGCCAAGGAAAAAATTATTTTACGTAGTTTTTACATAAAACTGGGTCTCGTTAAATTCTGTGAAAACATCAATAAAATGTATCGATCATTTACTAAATACCTCTGTGAAAAACATCAGATCTTGCTCTTTCCTATCGGAAAAAAATATTTTCATTAGACTACACATTAGAAAAGTAAAGGAAATCTTAAACTTGCTCTGAATGATATAAACAAAGCTTGAGTTGTCCTGAAGAATTCATTACATATTTTATAAATAACAATAAGAAATCTGAATCTCGCCATAGTTGATGATTCATTACAAAAATTAAAGTCTAGCTTGTTCGATAGTTGTAACATTTCAGTTCTTAACTTCTCTTATATTATCAAAAAAAAAAAAAAAAAAAAAAAAAAAAAAAAAAAAAAATGCAAAAAAAAAAAAAAAAAAAAAAGGTAAATGAAGAGCAAAAAGATCACTTTTAGCAAGACGTTAAAAAAATGACAAAAAGATACCAAGGTTACGAGAATTTTAATATGTTTGTAAATCACAGTTCGGTGTTATATCGCGAAAATCCAGAGACTTCACAGAAAAGCAGGTGACAACAATAAATGATAAATGAATGAAGTATGAATTCTTTATACAATATTTTTATTACAGTCATTTTATCGGGCTATGTTTTTACTATTCAGTTTAGCAGACTAAATATATACAACAGCCAGAAAAAGCTAACACAAATCGCAATAAAATAATGGGGTAAAATAAGGCCATTTTGAAATTCGGTAGAAATTTTAAACCATATGTTTTAATATAAAAATTTGAATTCGGTGCAAGGTTTAAAAGAAAAGTGTTTCGGAATACTTACAGTTTTATATTATTAGTCGGAAAAAGAAACAGTTTTACTTTTCAACCTTGTGATCTTTTTAGTTTTCATTATGGATTTGTTTCACTCTTTTGATCTTCTGTTGACGGATGTTGGATAACAGTGTATCAGTTAACAATTCTGCTTCAGAAATACACCATTATCTCGTCCCTGGCTAATGTTTGTAACTAGTTCTCAAGCATTTTAGCTGACCTTGACTTCTCTCCGCTTTACAAATCGGTTTGCTTTAGCTAGACGTACACATTAACTTTTTTCCTACCTTGTTCTTTCATTCAGTAATCCAACCAGACAGCTTTCGCTACATTCTTCTTGAAAATTCTTTGACCTCATCTTGCTGAATTTCGTGCGCGCGTGTGTATATTTGTGATGGAACTTTTTCAAACCTTTTCTGACAGCCTTTCTACAGTGTTCCCTTACTTCTAATTTTTGGAATCCAAACTCTGTTACTATAATATGCTGTGTTAAAGTGTTAGTCTATCCCCAAGATCTTAAGTGCCTGAAAAAGCAGCATGATTCTAGTTCATCAGATTTCTTACGTCACCTAAACAAATTTTATCAGCGGTAAGTAGAAAATCTAAGTAACGTATTCATAGAGGGAGAGAATCCATTCTGAATACAGTCAAATCGTATAACCTGCTTTTTATGAACGAAAATTGTAGGAAGTTTCCAGAACTAAAAAATTTAGATTATTTTTGAAAAATTATCTCAATATATAGTATTAAAGATAATACTGTGACTGAATAACGCAGCGTTGATCATAAAAGAAGATTAAAAAACTTATTATTATAACTATAAGTTAAATAATTTACCACTTTTAACTATATTTTATGATATTTTTAAACTAAATTTAAATAGTGTCGTTTAGAATCATCAACGGTATCGTTTCAAATAAAATGATTTGTTAGCTTTGTGAAAAGTGGAATCATGTGCGACTACTATTAGGTCACAATGAAAGCGATGCTCATCAGTTTTAAGATTACTAAATAGTCTTCATCTGTCGTTGATTTCAGAAGAAAATATTCATTGTGTTTCAAAAGGCAAACAATGTGATCTCTGTTTAAGATGGGGCGTGTACCAGCTGCAGGAAGTTTAATTAAGGAAGTCTTATCGATGTGCCGACTGCAAAACTTAACAAATACTTTCTGACACAGTTTTTCATACTTCGGTACTAAAACTAATTACACGCTACTTAACTATATTTATTTCAAAGGAAAGATGTCAGATTGATGATACCTTTAACAGATGTAATTTATGAGAAATCTAATTCATATACTTTATAATTATGGCTGGTCAGTAATGTTCCTCATAGGCAGTTGTGTGTTGTCCGCTCGGCGGCAATTCCAAGTTGAATAATATGTACACATATCAAGAACCAAATTACATACTTTATAATTATCTAATTTATAATACTGTAAACATTTGCCCTATCATTGTAATTAATAAAATATGTTTCTAGTGCCAAGGTTTGTGTTTACTAATACCTTTTATTTTCTTTGCTAGATCTCGCGTTTATTATTGTTATTCCAGTTATTAGTTTGCTTATTAATTGTTACTTCTATTTTCTTAATATATTTTATTTCTTGTATTTTGTAATTTTATTTTCGTGGTTATATTTCTCTTTTACGCATTTTGACTAATATTTGGCTTCGAAAAGTAAGATTTAGTAGTAATCCCACAAATTTTTTAATGGGAAGAAATTTGTTAGATATCTTCGGAAAATTGGAAGACACCTGAGGTGTCTGAAGGGGTGAGGGAAAACTTTTATCCGTGCAATTCGTTTTACGGAGTCGTAAAATCCGTCCGTGGAGATTGACTATCTGTATTTTTACCTCTTTCTTGTGCACTAAGAAGATACCGTTAAGATGACATCTAAGAAAAACCTCTCTTCATTTGGCAGAAAAATTTGCTTCTGAAGAAGAAAGACATCGCTTAGCATTCAAAGTAATTTAGCTTTTATACTTGAAATCGACTCTAAAGGTCTAGTTTCTATAATTTTTTTATCACCGTATTTGTCCTCGTTGATGAAATAAAGGCGTATTAAAGTGCCTTTTATTTTTTAGTTTCATAAGACAGTTTTTAATGCACTTTACCGTTGTCTGATAAGAATATGTGGTACATAATTTTGTAAAATTATGTCAAAGGCAAATAGGAAACACCAAAGACGTCTCCTACTTATTCAACAGATTAGGGATCGCAGCACTATTGAAAATAGGTCGTTATTTTAACTTGAAAATATACATTCTCTACACAGAAATGTAAATAACACACTACAGAAAGTTTTAGAAATGTTTTCAGAATAAATATCTCTCGAGCAGCTGGTCGTCGATCAGCAGTTTAAGTTTAGGAAATGAGTCAACCAAGAGTTCCAGATAACGTTAATTTTGGCCACGTAACATTTTTCAGAAAAGATACGCGAAATTTAATGTTTCAAAAAAGCCTTCTAAAAAAACTTCTCAGTTAATAAGCCGTTTCTTACATTTCGGTTTATTATACGCAAAACCGGTTCTGGGGAGAGGAAAAAGAATCATTCATTTCTTTTTAATTACTTTCACACGAGTGAAAGAATGGAAATTTATGAGCAATGCGAAAATGAATTTTTTTGAATACAGAACCTCGGATTTTAACATTTCTACAAATGGGAATACCTGATGGAAAAGTTATATTTTAGAAATTTGCATCTGAAAGGCTTAACACATGTAGAAATATAGCCCCACATTCCGCTAAAATTTTACTTAATTTCAGGGAAAATTTTAATTAACTTTCGGATAATTTTGACCTTTTCTGTATAAAATCTCCGTCTCCAACTAATTCGGCTGCAGAAAAAATTTCTCATTGACCCTTTTTCTCATCTAACGGGCTGCTATAAAAATTTAATACATATTTTAGAAGGATATATAAGTGAGGTTACTGCAGTCTGTAGGCCTACCTTATTTCACATATTTCTTAAAATGGTACCACGGGTTTCGACTAACTATTCAAAATATATTTAGCCCTGAAATCTTTTTGAAACATTTTGTATTATCCCTTACAAATGCGTGACAAAACTGAATAGCATTTTAATAAAACTAGAGAAAATATGTACAAAACAATATATATATAAAAGGAGAGAGAAAAAATAGCTGAAGCTGTAAAGATAATTTAAATTCCAGATATGACATTTTAAATAAAGTTGACCAAACTAAATTAAAAGTTGACCAACTTGTAGATCTCGCAATATATATATATATGTGTGTGTGTGTGTGTATGTGTAAAATACGTAGAATATCATATCTAGAAAACTATGTAAATTAGAAATTTCTCCTTAAGCAAACAAGTTAAATGAACATTTCTAAAGAGTAGATTACTCATATAATCTATGATTCCCAGATATAGATGAAAAGAATATAAATAGTGGATTGTAGAGAAATGAACTGTCAAAAAGCAGAGGACGCCCATATTCGAAAACCGTACTTCATTTCTTTCTAGGCCTTGGAGCATTTTTCAGAAAAGTTTCAAGGCTTTCTCGAAAGTTCTTCAAGCAGGGAAAATATTTTTGTTGTTTACGTGAATACAAAAGTGAGAGAATGAAAGATTAAAAAGAGGAAAAAATAGCGCAGTATTGTTATGATGATTGCGATATCCGATATGTGCTCTTCGGACTTTTTAAGTAGCCTATATCCGGTTCTAGACGAATTTCATTCGTTTAAATTAAACTAAAAAATGAAATTTATTGACCAAAAATTTTTGAAGATAATCGGGTTCAAATGGTTAAATAAAAAGGTTATCGATCTCTTTTTGTATCGTTCTGTGGTTATTATTAAATTTTTCTTAGATTAAGGCGAAGAAAGGACCTTTTGACAAACTTAAGAATTCGACTTTAAAACAGGGGGAAGGGGAAACCAAAGATTTAAGGAAGTGTTTATTTCTTGAAAGTAAACTAATAGTTTTATGGACGTATGTTTCGCAAACATATAGAGTAGTGTATAGCGCAATGTTTAGCAGATATCGGTTGCGAAGGAAAACTTATCTGCGAAATTTTTAAGCTTTTCAGTGAAAGAAAAAACGTATTTAAAACTTTAGTAAACATAATCATTTCTTTTGTAAATTAATGCTGAAGAGAACTTTCTGCTAAATTTTGATATCTTAATTTATTATAAAAATTTAAGCAGACGCCATTTTCCACTCAAAAAGGAATAATTTTATTTATGGGCAATAACTGCATGATAAATTATATAGAACCAAAAAGTAACGCTCATCATCGCAAACTTCTCAGCAAAAACTCTTGTTGTATAGAAGCAATGATTTTAAGTTATTTGCAAGACGAAAAACATAAATAATTTGTGGCAAATGGTAGTTATGAAACTTAATGAAATAAGATATAAATATAATATATTAAGACCAAATTATATAGTACTTGTGCATCCGTTCAAATAAATTTGATCCATTCTTGTTTATAAGATGCAAATCCATACAATAACAATGTATTCAAATTGTCAAAGTTGTAGTAGAAATTAATTAGTCATATTTTTGATGTGCCGACCATAATTAAAAACATAACATAAAATTTAAAACTGTAAAATTAAAAACATAATTTACGTTTCATAAAAGTGAATTTAAACAACATTTAAAAATTATAATACGTATACTATCACATAATTGCTGTGAATATATTAATGTGATGTCATAACAAAAGTTTAAATATCTGTCTGCTTATAAGAGGGTCTTCAAAGCTTTAAAATTTCATCCTGTATACAACGATATTTTGTAAAATGTTGTGCAGACATAGATAAGAATATTGCTGTGAAAATATTTTAAGCTTATAATTCTTAATCAACTTTTCATCTACGTAACGTTCTTGCTTGCGTGTCATCGTCCTCATCTTTAACTTTCTCATGCCTCAGTTTCCCCAAATCTAGCATAATACTCGTCAATTTCCTTAAACAAGTCCTTCACGAAGGCATTCTTTCTCTTAAATAGCTAATCTGAAATGCTTTGTTGTAATAAAATAATATGGCCCAGTCCTATTTCGGTACATACTTGATTTCGTTGTCATCAAGAAAGTGAGAGAGAACAGCGGGAAGGGAATTATCCGCATCCTTCCAAATCTGCGTCTTCTCATCACTAACGCTTACCTTCTTCGTATGAGTTATTAAATACGGAGATGTCGAATGTGGGAAGTGTTTTAAAACCACACAGCACTTGACTCTCCCTTTTCAATGAAAACAATCTTTGAAAAAAAAAGTGTCTTAATCCATTCATGCATTCTTTTGCAGCCAGTAATGGATAGGCGGATTTTTTTACATTTAAAACACCTTGAATTGCAATGTTTCGCTACTACTGACTAGCCTACTTTGCTCCTACCATGAAGGGAAGAAGGATACCATTTTTACCACCATGACAAAGAAGACCAATGATACTACTTGCAGCAGCATTTGTACAGGTCATCAAAATTTAGGCCCTTTTACACTAGCAGAACTTTAAGCCCTAGAAACGCGCGCAAGCTAGATTATATAAAAGGGAAAATGCAGCAATCGCTCTCTTTGAGGTAAAAGTGTAAGTATTTATTGCATAAAACAAATAAGCAATCTAGGAGATAATGCTATTCAAAATTTCCAAAGCGAAATGTTTCCTCCGCACAAGAAACTAGTTCTGTCAAAACGCAGTCTTCAAGTTCGCATACGTTTCTTGGTCTGTAAGTTGCACTAGTGTAGACGGGCCTTTACAGGTCTTTATTCTTCTGAAAGCTTTTCAGCGAGACTTTATCATACAACCTCCATAATAATCCAGTGCACAGCTTCGGTAATAACCCAGTTTTATCTACATTGTGCTAGTGCATATTTTCTGTCATCATATTGCACTGTTCTACGGCCATTTTGTAGGCTCGCGATTCACAAGTGCATAGTTACTGTGAAATAATAATGAAATAATTAAATGCGAACATATATGATTAATGCAATTAAAATAATTATAAATAGATTAGTGCTATTGTAAAATAAGAAAAGTTTTTCAAAATTTTATGTGATCCAACGAAAACTGTCCCCCAACCCACTATTAGGTCGAAACTCATATTCTGGAAACCACCATGATAGATAGCACGGACCATTGCGATCGACGTTTTTTACGTACCCTCAATACCTTAAGAAGCCTGCCGAAATAAGTGCCTCTCCAGAAGAATACCCAGGAATGCCTTTATTGTATCATTTGTAGCATATACTTGAGCGGCACATGGAAAAGTATTTTATAAGCTTCCATGCCGACGATGCTAGTTACACGTGCATATAATTAACAGATCTTTCAGTATTAAAATCAGTACTTTGATGTAAAACCTGATGTGACATTATCATTACAGTAACGGTTAAATTGAAAATGGTAAAAGTTCTCCTGAAGATGAATAGCATTTCTTGGAACATAATCATGTTTTATATCACTAGTAAAATTTTATTTAAAGTGGAATGTATTTTATTCTAACTATTGCAATTTCTTTTACAGCTCGAGATTTCAATGTGAATTTAGCAGAAGATATGCTTAGGAATGTAAGTGGTATTTATGAATTTTCAAGAGTTTAGTAATTTAAATGTATTTTTGGCTTATGTATTAAGTTTGATAAAAATAACATTTTAATGTAAACCTTGGCAAATAACTTTTAATCTGCTGTTTTAAACAAAAGTTAGTAATACGTGCTAATACTCTTTTGATAACACTTCATTCCAATGGGCAAATTATTACCTAAACAATTTATTTATTAGGAAACTAAATTCATTAAGATCATTTTTGCTCATATCAAATCGTAGTTTTCCATGTTTGAAAATGTCATTACAAAATGCAAAGCAGTGCGTTTATTTTAACATATAACATTGTAAAGAATTGGCTCAAGTTACTTCAGATTACAAAATTAAGTCCCAATGTTTAGTTATCACTTCAGATTAAATAAAGCAAACTTCTTTTTAAAGTAAAAGATTGTAATTTATGTAAGCATGAAATTTTCTGCGCTTTCTGGATGACAGACAAAAAAAGTAAAATTAAAATACGCTAGTAAACAGAGCAGAAGAGTCCTTACTGCTTAGAGAGGTGTTCAAGCAGACTTTATTTTTAAATCAATATAAATCTTTATTCTAATTAAATGTTAATTAATCAAAACAAGACAACTTGTATATGAACCTAATGCAGGAGAATTTTATTATTCGTAAACTGATTTACATCTTGCCTTTTATATACTATAGTTTACATATTAATTGAATACATGAAACCATTATGTTGGAAGATTGATATATGACACTTGAATATTTCCCTTGATTTCAATATATAGCCTTGCATTTAAAAAATAATAGCGAATGAACTATTAAAAATGCATAGGAAGCGGAAAAAAATAAATACTGATTATACTTTCCGTTCTTTAGCATCTCGCGTGGAGAAAAGCAAATCAGATTGATAATATCATAACGGATTTTGCCCCAGCCAAAGTAAGTTTTTTATTATCTATGTTTCTGTAGTTTGTGGTATATGTAGAAAGTGATGTGCAACACGAATCTAAATTATAAGAAGTATTATTAGTAATTTTAGTAATAAAAGGGCGTAAATTGTTTCTTATGAAATTGTATTGAAAGGAACTATTGTTAATATAAAAATTTGACTTGTTTTAAACTAAAATTACATTTTTAATCTTTATTTACAACTCTGCTAGTATACTAGAACTCCTCCTGGTGATATAAATTTCATGTAGATTAAATTTAAACATATCTGAAATTCAAGTTATCCGACTCGCTTGCTCTTCCAATTTTCGCAGCAAAACAGCTCAACTAAGATTTTTTTTTTCGTTCAAATCATAAATTTTGGAAAGGAAAAAAATTTAATAACGTGACATTATATTAATTTTAGAATTTAACTATTTTATGTTAATAAGATACAAGTATTAATTTGGTTCTAAATAAACAGAACTTAGTTAGGAGTTTTGATTTTAGTAAACAAAAGGTGATTTCTTTGCTTAATTCTTGTACAGTACAAACAAAAATAAAATTGCACTCTTATTACAGAATCTATATAAATGAAAACTAAGTTTCATTATCTTATTTTACGTAAAATAAATATAGATTTTGCTCTTAAGAAGATAAGAAAATAATTTCACTATTTTATTTTGTCGGTGTAGGAAATATTTTGGTTTATGGAAATAAGATGTTTAGGTGTATAATCTTTTTTTTTTTTTTTAAATTAAAGTGGCAAAAAATGTTGAAATAAAACCATCTCATTCTCATTGCGTAAATATGTACTTAAAAAGTAATTAAAAATAAAAGATAATTTTTCGCAATAAAAGATTTTCCGCAAAATAAAAGATAATTAAAAGCATCCGAATTTTTTGAAGATTCACTGTTGTCCTAATTATTTTGCATATTTGGAATTCTGATGCTGTAGTTAAGAAAACGTTTTAAAGAACTTATCGTCCATATACTTCAAATCAAATCTGAGCTATACATGGAGTTTAAATTTCTGTATTTTCTGGTTCTCAATCGATAAATATTTATATTTTTCACTGGAATAAAAAGCTGAAGTTAATTAAAAAATCTGATTAACAGAATTAAGGTTAAATGAAAACTTTAGCTGTTGTTTTCTAACAGCTGAAGTCCGGATATTTTCCTGTTATTTAAATGGGTTTATATATATAATTCAGCATTCATTTTCCTTAACAAAAACTATAATTTTGACTAATTAATCAACCATTTAATTAAAATATCAAATAGTGGGAAAACCTATACTTAAACTTTATTTATGGAATACTTATTCTTAAAATTTAATTCATGTGTATATGTTGTATATTGTACTTCACAATGTAATTTTACTTTTAAATAAATAATATTTTCCAGATTTTCTGCAGTAAAATTTAACTTAGAAAGTAGATGAATAAATTTTGGATGTCTCATCAAATTTTCATAACCAATGCCCAAAAACAATATAGTTTAATCGTAACTATGATTCAAACTGCACTAAAATATTTAATGTGGCTGTAAGATTCTGCACTGTGTACCTTAAGTTACAGTTGAATGTAAAGAATAAGAACTAGAAGCGAATAATCGCTTGAGTTCGTGAGACAATAATTAAAACTTGGAAAGAGTTAAAGACTCTTTATTACTTAAATGAGATTTAACAGAACTCCGTCTTGGAGTTTTACAATAAAGCCGACACTAGGGCTTGAACTTAGAAACTAAGAATTAAAACTTAATTAATCTTAACTAAAAAGATATAGCCGAATCTATTAAGATTCTAACGAAGTTGTCCCCTTAAACGCTAATTGACTGCGAAGCTATTAAGGGCCTAAAGTACGGCTGAGGTAATATCTTATGAGAGAGTAGCCTAAAAAGGCAGACGTGTGCTAGCCAGAATCTCTGGTTCTCTCTGCTTAAGACAGTAGAACTTCGCGGTTAAATACCGCTCTTCCTCAATTTGTATTCAAACGTGATTCTAAAACTACGTTCTGGCTGGAAGTGGTAAGTTGAAATTAAGAAGGGATAGGAAAGAAAGTTTAACTCAAAATTTAACTGTTAATAAAATTAACATAATCCTTACAGGGCAATATAAATAAAAGAATGTAGTACAGTTGAAACTATTATTACTTTTATTATTATTAGTTTATTATTTATTATTATTAGCTTGTTATTATTGTAATTTCTTTGCAATGAAACAAATGTAAACTTATTTTTAAAAGAAACTGAATAAAAAACTTTCTTCATTCAATTTTGTGAAATGGAACAAATGATGTTTATAGGGTACCGAGAAAAACACATACTAATTTACTTTTAAAATAACGAATAAATTTAAAAAAAAAAAAAAAGCGGATAAAATGGTTTCAAGTAAAATGATTCAGTCTAAATAATGCAGATGGAACTAAGTGTAAATTTTTTATTCTTACTTCTGCAAAGCACTTTCAGTAGCAAAAATTTCAGTATCATGTGAGATTATTATTATGAATTAAGAAGGATTTTCATTATTTGAATTACAATGTTTTTACTGCAGTGTGAATGCAAATAGCAGATATTTCTTTATAATCAAATCTGCGAAATAATGTTTAGAAGAAGGCTCTAAATTTAGATTGCGTCGTTTTGTTGCGATAAGCAAAATTCTATTAAATTTGTCAATTTAACGTTTTAGTTGATTACAAATTACTAAATGCTTTGACTGATGTACAAAATACCCCCGGAAGAAATCAACCTAGGGCGATATAGTGCAATGCTTACTTTACCATATTTAACCAATTATATTTTCATGGAAAATAGCTGCCATCTTCAACATGAAGAGCAATTTGAAGTACAGCAAAAATGCGCGTAAAGCAAACTGGCGGTAATAAATTTAATAAAATTCACATGATGAACGGTTTTCTTTAATCATTATAAATTTAGTAAACGAAGTAGACTTTTTATGTAAAGATGAAAATCTAAAAATGCTTTTTTGAACAGCTCAGCATAAATATTAGAAATAAAACTAAAATCATACCCTAATGTTTTATATTAACCGTAGATTTTCTTGACTTTTTATGAGAACCATTTTATTCTAGATTCGGAAAGAATGCGTTCTTAGAAAGAGTTTTTTTTTTTTAATTTATTTTAAATTCTAAGTTAATACTGTTATAAAAACAAATTACTCCTTATAATAGAAAATAATGTGACTAATTTTAGTCGACTTTTTATTCCAAGAAAAATGGCCAAATCGAATCCTCTGCCATATCCGAGATCAAGTACGAGAGTGGATCGGAACTCAGGAAATCAAGAATTGCGGTAAATATTGCGCAAAAACCATCCTGCCTGCTTAAGTTCCCTCATGCAACAAAAGAAGGAAATGGAAAGCTTACTCTTATCTGCTCCCTCCATTCCATATCCCCACGGCTGGTGCGAGTTAAAAAGAACATGCTTTTATCTGCACCCCCACCTTCAAACACTAACAATTAATTCTGCATTTGCCTCTCGACTGCTGCCGACTAATACTATTTTCTGTATGTGACCGAATGGATGTTTACATTTTTACCCAATATCTCAGATTAAGATTATCTTTTGTGCTAATTTGCGGCGCTCGTTATTTAGCGTGAGTAGTAATTCAGAATGTGAATAACTTAAGTTCTTAACATATATTTTTAAACAAAGTGAGTACAATCACATGTTTGTAACACGCTGAGTCCATATGCTCCATACATCATGTTGTCTCAAGTCTATGTTGTGTCATCAAGTCTATGCTGTGGGTTGCATCATCACTTACTTTTCCTCAAGACGTTAGATTCAGAAGGGATATCCTTCGTTGAAAGTAAGCTGTTCCAGCCAGAGCTAAAATTGCGCCGGAGCCCACCGGAGGCCTGCTCCGGTACTTCTTAGTTTTTTGGGATAAATCTTAATTCTAGCCGGGGCGCACCGGAGCCCTGAATCAGAAGGCTCAGGTACTTCTTCTATGTAACTAAACAACAATTTCAGTAGAAATTTATCTCGAAAATTTTATTTTTTGCAATAAAATTATATTACAAATCGCTTATTAAATTTTAATTTATTTCTTTCCATTTTATTTAATTTTAATCATTTAATTACTTTAATTAAGTATTTAACTATAATTAATTTTATTTAAATAATCATTATTTAGATAATAATTGGCAAATATTAATTATTAAAATTAATTAATTTCGTAATATTTAACTATTTACTTTTAAAATTATTATTTTAAAATTATTAATGATCTTAATAGTCATTTTTTTATTTATTTACTTTTGTTCCTCTTTGGTGACTGTCTTCCATAGGGCTCCGGCACATCTAATTTTAGAAATTAAGCCCTGGTTCCAGCAAAATATTCCGGTGTTTCACCGATTCTCGACCATGACATGCGCGAGGGTGTAATTAACGAAAGCCTTTAAGCTTTTTGAATACATGTTTATAAGAACGTCCTATTTTATACCTGCGCAGTTATAGTTGAGGAACTTTGAACGTACATACTATTTGAAGGAATTCTGAACTCCAAATGAATTTCAGAAACGTTTAATTTAATATCAGTAGATTTTTGCTAAGACTAGTAACCCTTTTACAATTCTGTGTTTTGAACTGATCATTTTCTTTCATGAACTTTAAAGAGATTTTTCAATTTAAAAACTCCGATTTTCAATGAAATCTTATACGTCGTTTGGAATCCAGTTATGTCATCTGAGAAATTTTGCTCCTTTGATGAAATTTGGAATTTTTAAAGACTGGAATAAATTTTGATCGTGCTAGGTTTTCCTTCCTTTAAGAATTTTATATGCAGCTTATGCAACTTCACTAAATTTGCTATTTTAGATCATCTTTATAAATTAATAGAAATTTTACCTTCAGCCAAATTTTCCGAATTATAATAATTTTTGCCATTATTCATATGAAGACAGAGCATAGCAAAATCTGATTGACTTACCATAAACTGAGATTTAGAAATGATTGATTAGCTTATTTTCTAATAAATTCTGAGTACTTGTTTAACTTGACTTTTTGTTAGATCAAAGTTTGAAAGTTTATCATAATACAGCAATAAATGATATTCCCAAGTGTGTGTGAGTAAATTATATATTTATTTTAAGACCTGTTATCTTTTGCTTCAAATATAAAGGGGATTATTGAACTTCAAGCTAAACAGTATGCTTCAAGCTATCGTAAAGCCCAAGTGTGCAAACAGTAATGGGTAATATATAGCATATTTTAAAGGCTACCTCCAGTTCCCAGAGGGAAAAAATGATGATAGTGATCAATTTCCAAAAATCAGAAATGAACTTCCTAATATTGGAACTTCTAACATGAGAACAAATCTGATATTACTCGAAAGAAAAAAGCTTTAGAGATTTTAGAGAAGTTTTGAGAGGAGAATGTTGTTGAAAGTCTGTCAGTGATCTGATGGATGTACTTGCTTGGTTGAAAATTATGAACATTAAGATTCCAATTGATGACTCGATATTTACGGCCAAATGGTCCTGTACCCGAGTATTTATTGCATCAATTATCAAACATGAAACTTTTACCGAAAGCCCAGTTTTCATAACCTCTTCGCCATATTGTTTCAATAAAAGATGCCACATTTGTCAAGAATGAAACAACTTTAACGTGGTTTCGTTACAAAATTACGTAAAAGAAGGAAAGTCTTCTTTTCGAAATTCAAGTATAACTGATTTAGAATATGCTAGAATTTCCAATTAATTTATCCTGTGTATCCTTTAAATCCTGGGCTTAATTTGATGACATTTTCCCCCTTTTTTTAAGGTAAGTGCATTAAACCTACTTGTAATTCTAACTGAAACTCAGCTTAATTTCCCTGCTAAAATTTTCCTAAACTATCTTCAACCACAACCCCGTAGCAAATTACTAGCTCATGGATCAACTTTTATTTAAACTTACTTAATGATTTAAATTGTTTTCATTTGAATTTTCAGCTGCGGAAGGCAATCTGTATACTGACAAAATTCTTAATTTTATCTCCCTTAGGTAGCGATCAAGTATCTTCCTTTCACTAGAATCGGCTTCGATAAAGATGGATGCCCGGTACGATATTTCGCGTTTGGAAACATGGATTCCAAAGGTATATTCAGTAAACGCATGCTGTGCTTAATGCTGTCTGTAAGATCACGGCCAAAAATGTTATTGAGTTATCTTGAATTGAGACCTATCTAATGTATTCGGAAATTAACACTATTAACCTATGCATAAATAGCTTACATATGACCGATTTCTTGTGCTTCATGCTTATTGCTTACGACTGGATGGAAAATTTCATTGAAATTCTTAAGTATTTTCCTTTTGCATTTATTGAAAAGATTTCAGTTTTCTCATTGCTTAAAAGTTATTAAAAAATTAATGCTAAGTGCCATTGTCGTATAAAATTACTACTATGAGTACTGGACAAATAAAAATAGCAGTGAATGAAAATATACGGAATTAATATTTGTAAACTTGAAAGTACTAATTTTCTGTCATATTAACTATTACGATAATTTAACAGCAAACAAAATATAGGACAGTTATAAAATCTGCAGTAAGACCACACAAAAAAAGGAAAAAATAATAATACTCGGATAAAACATATCACATTTTGTAAGCAATTTTATGTAAGAATTAGCTTTATAAGTTAATAAAGATTGTTATTTCAATGATCCTTTTAATTACGGATCTATAACAGCTTCTTTTTATGTAAAGTGAAAATTTAAAAAACATTTCTCGTTATTAGTGGCAGGATAGTCAATATTAAAAAGTTTCAGTCAGTTTTCCTACATTATAAGGACGTCTCTCTATTTGTACAAATGTGTTTTGTAAAAAAAATAACTTTATTTGATTTAAAACTTCTTTCACGCCGTGCATTATAAAAATGCAGTATTATTTTAAACAGGAATTCTAAAGTCTGTTAAAAGAAATGAATGTATCAGAGGAATAATACAATGTTTTGAAGAAGATGTAGCAGCAATGAAAGAGCAATCTAAGAAAGTGAGTCTGTATTTATTTTTGTCTTTATTTATTAAATACAAAGTTCGTAATATATCACGTGGCTTGTCTTTTAGTTCTAATTTTAAGGGGAAATTTATACCGCTTGTAAACTTAATTTTATGTTCTAAAGCAACGTTTTCTGTGTAAATGCTTACCTTTTTCGCAATATTAGTCATAAGATGCAAATTATGCATGCAAGTGATTTGCAGGCGTTTACCTTTACTATTTACTTTGATCTTATTCTGCAGATATTTGCTTATTGCAATTGCTAAACTGTCATTGCATGCAACATTATCTCTTTAAAAAAAACTGCAAATTTGATTAAACAATTTTTTAAAAAATATTTTCAGTAGCTCAATATAGATCAATATAACCAGCGGACCGTAAATTCAAAAGCTATTATGTTATATGATCACAAAGCAATCAGTCCATAGTAATCGTTCCAAAACAGACACAAAATCTTTGCTGCTATGCAATAATACAGAACATGAAGACAGGTTTTTTTGTTTTGTTTTTTGTTTTGTGTGATTACGGCAACGCCTCGAGGGCTATCTACCTAACGGAAGGGATACCTTTGTAGAGGACTTTCTAAGGGAAAATGAATCATATGCACGTTAAAGATGGGGAAAACCCGAAAACGCACATACAACCAGCCCGTTCGTAGGATTCAAACCTCGGACCGAACTACTAGTTTTCAGCGACTTTACCGCTCGGCCTCTGGTGGGCCTCCTTGAAGACAGGAAATGCTAATTCAAGTCTGCAAGCTTTGAAACCTGCTCACCGGTTTAGCAAACTCCCTAATGCAACTTCAATTAAAGCTGACAGGAACAATGTGCCTCCGCCTTTTATAAACATTGTGGAGAGAAGAGAGAACGTGTTCCAGATTTCAAAATCAAATTAAGATATTACCTGGATCTCAATTGCGAGTATCTTCATACAACCGACATTCGATTGCTATCAAGCATCGTCGAATTTTTAGCCATATTTTAGGTTATTTATTACTATACATTACTCATGGGCTACCTCCTGCAGGAAGAATTATTTCGCGTAGCATTTTCTACAGGAAGCTCACTCGCATTCACGCTACACACGGGAAAAAACACGAAAACCGCATGCAGTCATCTAATTCAGTTGCCAGAAACCGAAACGAACTACCAGCGTCCAGTGCGATCAGAATTAATATCTAAATACGATAAGTTTCTTTCAGGCTGGACTATTTAAATTATGTATAAGGAAAGTATTTGCAATTTTCTGTACCACAGAAACTAAGCCACTGATTAGCGGTCTCTGCAGAAACGGAAAATTTACTTACTTACGAGTATTATAGAAGCAAAAACAAATGCTTATAATTTTTTCACGTTGTTTAGAGCAACATTTAAGCAAAAAGAAAGTAATTAATTCAAGCAGTACGTTTTTTTATTTAGTTTCCGTTGTCTTAAAATTTGTAAATCATTTGTGGTGTTAATTGTATTATTTAGAAAGCTGGCCATCCGCACCAGCAGCTAGACTACCTAAAACACAGGTTCTAGTTATTAGCGAATTATGCTTCTTCGTGTGCTACGTATATCCTAGTTTAGAAAATCCGAAAAAAAAAGTAAATATTATTTAATAATAATATATTATAATAATTTAACTCATTTTTTTTAAAATAGTCAGTTATTGAATTTTGTCCCGAAATATGTTTACTCTAACAATATTTTCCACATTCTGTGTAACACGGGGTATCTCAAAACTACATGTATAAATTTTAAGAGGGGGATAGAGAATGTCGATGTGAATTATATTCATACATGAAAGAACGGTCGAACAGGATACCCTTAGGAGATAGAAAGCACAAAGGTACAACAAGAAAGCAAACAAAAAACAGCGCAAAGCGATTTTAATAGTAGGAAAACCGAGTGACACAGAATACAGTTTCGTAAGAGGTATTCAAAGTTCGTACCATTCACAGTGATTGCAGAATATTTTTAATGATAAGTGGGAGTTTCGTGAATTTAGCAGCACCGATGGGAATTCTTGCCGTGAAGTCCATGTCAGATGCAATGAGTTTCGTACAAGATGACCTTGAGGATCTCTCACATAAAGGATATAATTATTTAGCTCAGAGGTCCCCAACCTTTTCTGGACCATCGCCCCCTTTACAAGAAAAAAATCCGACGCCCTCTCTTGCATAATAGTTAATTTTACTAAATATTGAAACATTATTGCATATAATCTATACCTATTTTAACTCTCTATCTATCTATGAATAAGAAAAAAAAATATGATATGATCGAAGCTTTTGGAGTTTCAGCAGCTTGTTAATGAAGAGTTCTAATTTCGTTAATATAAGTCGCATGCTACCATGTTCAATAACGTGCAGCCTGTTTCGTTTCAAGCCCATCAGCGGCCGAGCAGTAAAGTCGCTGAGCATTGGTTGTTCCGACCTGGGTTCGATTCCATCCAAATAAGCTGGGTGCATAGATGTTTCCGTTGAGTCCATGTGTCATGTGTAACGAGCCAGTCTCCCTTAGAATATCCTCCACAAAGGCATCCATTCCCTTAGGCAGATATCCGTAGTTTGCTTTGCCGTAATCTCAATAAGACAAACCTGTTTCTTTTCTTAAACGGAAACGCTGACGTACAGCTTTACTTCTCCGTTTTTATTCGTGCTTTCCTGCGTGAATGTGATTGTTAACGATGTTCTCTGTCTCCGCTCAGTTTTTATGTCGAGTTTTAGACACCTGTATCTCCAATGATATTATATAAGCTCTTCCAAATTCATAACAAGCTACTTTTTTTAGCTTAAGAAAATGTATAATAAGTATGTTCGATAGGAATAAAACTCATAAATTATATTTCAATACCATAAAAATAAAACTAAGTAATATGTAAAGTTATTCCTTTTTCTCGAGTCATATTCAGTTTTAGAGAATTAAAAGTGAAAAATGACCCGACTGATAAAAACTGAAGGAGTTATCAAAACTGAGTAACAGTTTATTTATTTTTAAATTCTTTTAACTATTTTACTATATAACTGTAAGTGAACTCTAGTTCTTAATGTTTCAGATAGGGAAGCCAGTACAACAGTGGACATATATCTTCAACTTCGATGGTTACACTTTTGCTAAGGCAACTCATAAACCAAGTGAGAAAACTATTTTTTCCTTATTTTTGGCCCCATATCATCCTCTGTATGTTTGTCTTAAGTGAAATTTGATGTAGATAAACAAATAGGTTTTTTTTTTTTTTTTTTTTTTTTTTTTTTTTTTTTCAAGCACAAACATACGGTAGCCCAAAAGGTCTAGCTAGCAGTCTCAAAACGGCATTTTGTGGTGTTTTGCTATAAACAGAGAATCATTTTTTAATTTTTATCACCAAATATTATCGCTCTGTTTTATATTTAAAGAAATTCAATAATGAAGAATCTGCATGAATTTAGCTATGTTTCTCACATTGTGAAGAAACGACGGTACCTAGAGCCATCAAATTTTGAATAACGTATACTTCCACTCAAACATGTGGACGCTCGAATTTTGAATTTCGAATTTGTTTTATTATATATTTCGTATTCTGTAAAACTTTAACGGATTTTTTGATTAACAAACTCAACGATTTCAAAGCTAGCAATGGCAACACTGTACGAAATAAAAACACTTTTACCTCCAGCGCGCGACACTGTCTAATGGAGATTCTAAAGTTATGCTGTTTTTAAATATTTCGTGATATTGCGGTTGAATTGAATTTTATGTGTTTTAAGTGCGAAGAACGGATGTTTAATAAATAAAAGTAACACACAAAACGTAAAAAAAGGGGGGGAAGTAGCTTTTGGCATAATATAAAATATGAAAGTTTTCACTTAATTTTTTAATTTTTTAACCTTTTTTTTTTTTTTTTTTTTGTTGTTTGTTGTTTTTTGTTTTTTTAAGCTTTTAACATTTTGGATTATGTGCTAAAAATGGAGCATGTAATCCAAGTCATAGCTTACAAAGTCGAAACGTGAGAAACTGGGAGTCTTCTTTGAACTAGGAACTTTGCTCTTAGAAGTGAAGAAGGTACAAGAGGACTTCCAAATCCACTTAAATTTACTTTATAATGCACGATTCGCGTAACTGAATGATTTATAATATGATTCTGATGTAAAATACACTACCCTTCAAAAGTTAAAGGACAGCATGTTTTTCGTGTCTAATTTGAGAATGAAGCAACATAGAAACAAGGAATTTAGAGGATATGTTTATTAAACAGTTCTTTAATGAATCGATATGGATTGTTTCTAAAGTTCAACACAAACATGAGTTACAAAATAAAATTGCACTCTTGGCAGAGAAATTCAGTCTAGCAGAAATAGTACATCACCGTTTTTGAGGAAAATGTGGTGGTAACATTGCACAAATGGGTTCTAATAAAAAAATATATGTTCATTTCTAGCTGCCATGCATTGGCGGCAGTGGCGTTCTATGTTGTCAATTAAATTGTCGGTCAGTCAAATCGGAAGCAACGTTCAGACATGGAATAATTCTTGTTTAAGCTCATCCAACGACCTTGGAGGAAGACTTAAAGCAACAACCTTGTCTCCCAAGGTAGTCCCAAAAATGTTGTATCGGACTTTGACCTGGGGATTGAGCTGGCCGTTCCATCCACTCCACATTGTGACCCTCAAGATATTCTTCAGCAACCCGAACTCGGTATAGTAGCGCATTGTCGTCCATCAGAAGAAATCCAGGATCAATAACAGTGGCATATGAGCGGACATATTGATGAAGCATCTCGACTCGATATCTCACACTGGTCATGGAACACATGCAAGTCAATGTGATCACCAAGAGAGATCCCAGCTCAAACCATTACTCCACAACTTCTTTAACTGTGTCTTTCGACAATGTGGAATTGGTAGTATTTGGTGCGTTGGTTTCCTCCAGATCAGCTGACGACCTGAAATACTCTCCATTGTGATCCTGGGCTTGTACAAACGGAGAACAGATGCCCGTTGTTAAATGGTCCAGGAGACTTCTTCTCTTACCCAATATAAACTGGTGCATCTGTGTCCTCGGGTCCAGAGGACACAAACTACTGGTAGTCTTGCATACAGACCCGTATTGTGCAGGCATCTGCGCACTGCAGTAGCTGAAATTCTTGTTTCTGTTACTACTAAATTATATGCCGTGATAGGCATAGTAATATTGCTCTTCTTCGGGCCGAAAAAGCTAAATAACGGTCTCCCGCAGGTGTTTAACTCTTGGTCTGCCTGAAACATGTCTTTTAGACACAGAATCCTCGCATACAAACTGATTCCATAGTCGGTGGACCACGAGGGAAGAAGTCTAGCAGCATCAGCTTGTGACATATCTATTTCCATCCATCCGATCGCCCGCCACCTCAACGAATCGAGCAATCGACTGCTCCTGGACATTCTCAACGAAACTGCTAATAACAATTGAAGATCAACACCTGTGAACAAAACTTACAATTTTGGCATTTTTTTCTTCCCGCTCCTATATGTGTTAATGTGTATAAAATAAAAGTGGTAGCCATTCTTTTTGCAAATATTTTCTTAAACATCGTTACTAACGTGCATGTAAAACGTGGTTTGGTTTTATTTATTGAGAATACGGCAGAGCACACTAGGGCTATCTGCCTAACGAGAGTGATGCCTTCGTGGAGGATTTTTTAAAGAAAACTGACTCGTATACACGTTACATACGGGGAAAACCACGAAAACGCCCATGTAGACAGCCCGTTCCCGGGATTCGAACCTCGGACCGAACCTCGAACCAGTGTTCAGAGATTTTACCGCTCGGCCGCTGGTGGGCCTTTTTGTAATGGAGAGAGAATTTAAATTCATGTCTTATATGGGCCCACCAGCGGCCGAGCGGTAAAATCGCTGACCACTGGTAGTTCGGTCCGAGGTTCGAATCCCTCGAACGGGCTGGCTGCATGGGCGTTTTCGCGGTTTTCCCCATGTGTAACGTGTATACGAGCCAGTTTCCCTAAGGCCCATATCACACGGCGTTTGTTTCACACGAACAACTGTTTCGGACAATTTTTCTGCCTGGTTTACTATTGAAAGAAAGACTTGCGACTTTTTCCTTTCTTTCGAAAAAAGTTGCAAGTGTTTCGTTTTCAACCAATCAGCTATCAGCGCCGAATGCTGTTATCTTGTAATGGAATACCAGTTTCCCCTGTGTTCATCCCAAAGCGAGCTGTGGTGATTGGCTGCTCTGACAAAGCAGAAAAATTGTTCCAAACAGTTGTTCTTCCTAAACAAACCGAAGTGTGATGGCAGCCTTAGAAAGTCCTCCACGAAGGCCCCCCTTCCCTTAGGCAGATAGCCCTAGTGTGCTTTGCCGTATTCACAATACACCATTACAAAAATTACTGCAATTTTTGTAACGATGAGCTTTAAAAAACATATTGTTCCTTAACTTTTGGAGGACAGTATACATTATTTAATTAGGCATTCTTAATTTTATGTTCTTTTGCCGATACTTTGTTATTTTCTCATATTTTTATACAGAGAAAATCCTCAGTAGGAGGAAAAAAACTTTTGTCAAAATGCTTTTAATACGAAGAATATAAAGTTAATAATTAATGTATATAATATTGAGGAGATAATTTAATGATGTATCATTTATCGATTTTAAAAAAATAAATACAGATATTAACTGATTAAGCATCGGTTAAATCTTCATAAAAAGTTCTACAGATTGTGTACAGCAGATGAAGGCAATTCAAATTAAATAAAATTTAACGAGAAAAATTATTCTGATAAACACTAGGGGGGAACGGAATTCATACAATTTTAAGTTTTATTTATTGAATAAATTTCATTTAATTGCTGAGAAATATTTTACTTAATAGTTTTCTTTAATAAATGTGAATATTAGAGAACTGAGAAATTCGATAATTTACTAAAAATGTTGGCGGCTATGCCAAATGGAAAAAACCATCTCGACTTAATGATACGAATACCGGTATCAGTGTTACCTAATGATACGAAAACGATACCGGTACAAGTCAAAAATCTGTTACCACGTTTTCTAACGAAGCTTGCCGGGTTGCCTTGACCACACGCGGTAGGTTTCGGTGTTCCCTGTTTATCAATTATTTTGGCTTTCTTGATCAAGGTTCAAGGTTTCTAATTCTCTTCATCTTTCCATTTCACGCCAACATTATTCACTGGCGCACGTAGTGTCTATAACTTGCCAGAAATCCCAAGGGGCATCGATAATCATGCTCCTCGGCACTTGCCATGCGCATATTTCAAATAACTATAGTTAGAACACATTTCTACTGAACGTTCGAGATTTTAGGTTCACGACATGTATTAGTATTTCCTTTCAGGGAATGTTCAGTTTAATTGCAATACAGTAAAATTCTTGAGAAATTCTCTGTTTAACGCTTAAAATTAAATATAAATGGAAAATCTGTAGCGTATAGGTGGAGTTCGATTAAGAAAATCGGGTCGCAACCACAGCATTCCTTGAACACCACCGATCGTCCCAATCGAGGTAGGTGATCTCGACGGTGACGCCCCGATGCCACCTTTCTTTATTTTCATAAGAGAAAAACAGGTTTATGAAAAATCCAGAATGGGTTTAACGAGCCTTCAAATCTGTGAATCTTACGTCTAGGGCTTGTCGGCTCAGAGGCGTAGCTAAGGTTTTTAAGCTCCCGGGGACAACTAAAGATTTTGCGCCCCTTTCTGTGTTCCAAGAATGGAAAACATTTCATTCTAAAATTTGTAGCATTAATTTTGCGCCCCTTGGATGCTGCGCCCGGGGACAGATGTCCCCCCTTGCCCCACCCTAGCTACTCCACTGTGTCGGCTCAAGCCGTTATCAGGCCGTGCCTGTAGGATTTTCAGAAGATTCTAAATTTCAGGGCGCTTTTTCAAAAGTAACTTACGTCTACGAACGAATATACGTCTGGCGCCATCTGTTGTCAATCGCTTCAATTATTACTTTAACTAGGGTTTAAAAAATTCTTCAACAACTAAATTTAACAAAAACAAAATGAAATAAAATAAAAATAATTTTGACATTTTTTTTTGAAATGATGCCATCTGTTGTTTATCAATTTAATATAAGTATATTTATTCTCGAAAATAAAATTCGTGTGAGGGTTCTACGTTTGTTGTAATGGACTAAATGTTAAAAATATTTTAAAAATGGAATACTTTGAAAACAATAAATTGCTGAACTAAAATAAAATATTTAGTTTCAATATTTGGTGAATTTATTTTTCATATAAAGTCAGCCTCGTGTGGATTCATATAGAAGCTCCTGAAATTTTTCCCTTTGGTCATCACCTTGTGACTTATACGACTTGTATTCTCTTTTTGTCGTAAGCGTTTTTAAATTTACTGCTTTTTTCTCAATCAAGAAATTCATATTCTGTGTTATGTGCTGCAATTGCCACTTGAAATAATGGTACTAACTACAAAGCATAACTGAGTTCGAGGAAACTGCAAGCAACGTAAAGTTTTATAAATTTTATGTATTATCCGTGTTTTTAAACCATTGTGTTAAAACCGCGTGTTATTAACTTAATAGAAAATTATCGTCGCGTAAAATAACATAGATGTGAAACATTAAACAGTAAAGAAATGCTGAACTACAAAAAATTATCCAAAAACAGTCTTGGAACTAATAAGAATAATAGTTTTTATTGTAATTAATAAATGTAAATGCAATAATTATTCAAGCAATGCTTCCTCTTAATATCTTTTACAGCATTAGAGACTTTAATTGCATTATTTGTGCAGTATGAAGCAAATTATCCGGAAAGATTAAAAGCTGCTTACATAATAAATGGTAAGTCTGAAAATAATTATTATTTCATTACTTAATTTATAACTATGCCTTTTTACTTTTAATTTTCGTATTTAGTTTCTAAATCTTTTGTATCTCGTTCAAGGTTTTACATTCAACTAATTATACATTTAGAGAAATGCATTTAGATATACATTTAGAGACTAATTATACATTTAGAGAACTTATGTAAAATAGTTTCTTTATAAATGTGAATAAAATTGATGAGTTTAAAGTACGTTGAGATATCTAAAATGCGTTGAGAAAAGCAGTCATTAGGTTTGTGAAAGTTCTGAAGTATCCTTTTCGCTATTGATTTTTCGTGAAGAGGCTAGATTTACTTGCAAGATTTTGAAGTTGCAAACTTCTAATTTCATATTTCTGATTTTTTAGGCCGGTAAAGTTCGTTGCGCTTCCAGAGTATGTATCATCCATGCAGCTGAAAAAAGCTGTCATTTCATATAATAATATATTTCGATAAAATCTTCCACCTGGTTTCTCAAATAGTTTAGTATGAAATAATTAGTCAAAAAGCTTAGGGTATTGTTTTTCGATGATGTAAAGAATCGTTAATTTAGGTTTCAAATTATACATGTAGTTGGTTTGTAAACTGAGCAATTTCAAAACAAGAAATGTATTTCTCAATAATTTATACTTTAACTTCTTAAAAATACCGGGTGGCCATAATTAAACTGACAGTGCTCACAGTGTTCTGTAGCGCGATCTATTTGCGAGAATGACGCCACATTTTGTAGGAAGAATAAACAAGACGGGGGACGAAGGATTCCGCGAAAAAAAAAAAAAAAAATTAGTTTCCAAAAGTCACCGCTAGGGGAATATTTGGCGCTGTGTAATAGAAAATAGAGTGTTAATAAATGCAAATTAATACGGAAATAAAATTACTTTTTATTATGGATATGCCTTATGGAATATGAATATGCCTTACAGTACGGTATGGAAAATGTTACCGAAAGATTATCAACTTCTATCCGTACAAGATCAGCCATGTACTGGAGTTACTGTACCCCGACCATGATAAGCGAATGACTTTTGCTCTCACCTTTCTTGCCAGAATGGAGGGGGTGGATGATGCTTGGCCGTGATGGATGATCTTAAGGGGAGACGAGCCCCACTTTTACCTGAATGGAACTGTGAATACCCAGAACTGCCGAACTTGGGATGACAAATCACCACATGCAGTCACAGCAATTCCCTTACATTCACCAAAGGTAACTGTTTGGTGTGGTTTCACAGCGGAATTTATCGTAGGTTCATTCTTCTATGAGAACATTACCCCGACAGGACCGGAAACCTGTTCTGTTACCGGAGAGAAATATCGCCACATGGTGAATAGCTTTGTCGTTCCGGCACTTCAGCAAAGACAATTCCTGGGGGAAATCATTTTCATGCAAGATGGAACCCCTTCACACGTTGCTGTACGGGTGCAACAGATGCTACGACAGAAATTCACAAGAGAAAGAGTCATTAGCCGCTACTTTACAACTGCATGGCCACCTCGGTAGCCTAATCTTACCCCATGCGACTTCTAGCTATGGGGTTACCTTAAGTCCAAGGTCTATCAAGGAGTGGTCCAGGACCTGGCTACGTTGAAGGATAACATATCACGGACTGTGCGGAAGATTCCTGCAGACATGTTACTTTCTGCTGTTGTGCATACTGTGCACAAAATGCAATATGTGGTTTTCAACAACGGCAGCCACATTGAACCTCATTTGAATGCAAAATAAAAAGTAATTTCCGTATTGATTTGCATTTGTTAACACTATTTTCTATTACACAGCGCCAAATATTCCCTTAGCGGTGACTTTTGGAACTAATTTTTTTTTCGCGGAATCCTTCCTCCCCCGTCTTGTTTAATCTTCCTACAAAATGTGGCGTCATTCTCGCAAATAGATCGCGCTACAGAACACTGTGAGCACTGTCAGTTTAATTATGGCCACCCGTTATATTTGATTGATATTATTTAAAATATGTTTAATTTATACTTTCTGATGAATAAATTAATAATACTTTCATCGTTAGTGTAATTATTAAAAGATGCTTGCAACAATATTACATAATTCAGAACGTGTGCCCAGCTTACAATCTACCAGTTGTCTTATGAACTTATGAATTCAATTTATGAACCATGTAGATATGTTTCACGTATAATTTTATAGCTGATGGTTGCATTATTTACATAAACCAGATCCTTAATATTTTGCTTTTTAATAGTTACAAGTTTTTTTTTTTTTTAAATTTTTAATATTATTCCTTTCCTTCTCACATATACAAGAGATGTTTTTGCTTCAGATTTATTGATTATTCTCTTGGTAATACAATACAAGCAGTTATCAGTTACAAATTATATTAATTTTGAGCTGCATATTTCCTATTTCAGCTTCAGTATACTTCTCCATTGCATTTTCGATCATCAAACCCTTACTGTCCGGTGCAACGCTGAAAAAAATTACCATTTATGGCAGAGGTGAGTTAAAATAAACTCATTTTTATTGTACATTTTATAAGATTCACCTTTTAAATAAGCTTTACCCCTCTCCCGTTAACCGCATGAATTTTGTGAACTGATGAAAAAACATTTTTTTTTTTTTTTTTTTGTTGTTATAATCGTGCAGTAATGGATAGCAAGTCAAAAAAAAAGTCACTTTTATTAAATGTTGAAAGGTTTCATTAAATGTTGAATTCGAATTTAATTTGAAAATACTTACACGTTTTTATTTCACTGGTAAAAAGCTAGAATCTCCTTCTCTGGAATTAAAGTGATAAAAAAATTATTAAAAACTATGAAACTAGAGTATGATGGAACCAGTAAGCAACAAGATAACTGCTAAAGACTATCAGGTCCACAGAAAAACAAAATTTTGTAAATTTTGAATGGTGTACTTCCTGTTATTAATTCATTAAGCATATTTTATTGTTGGGTCTACTACCTTCCTGATACTAAGTTACAAATAGGCAAAAGATTCCAATAAAAGATAGGCTTTGCTTCTGCCTTCTTCCCCTCACCTAGCAGCTTAAATTCTCAACAAAAACATACTAGAAAAAAGTCACTTGTCCTTATTAATGCGATTTTTGCTTGAGACTACAAATCATTAATTTCGTCTTCCAGATATTGTGAAAAGTCTTCACACCAAATAAATATTAAATGAAAATTTTGTATTTTCTACCACGGAGTGAAAATGAGTAATTAAAGTAAAAATCAATTATGTTAATGTTTGTTTCGTAAAACTTAAAAAAAATCATAAATTAATGTTAATGATATTAATTATTAATGCAAAACCTTCCTGCAAGAATTTTCAAGCCATAGCTTTTACCTTCTGATATAATATATATAGATAGATATAATCTGGTACTTCCGCTAGTGTGTGTATATATATACACTAGCGGAAGTACCAGATGTCAGTTAAGTAAGATTGAGAGTAATGTATTATTTTACTCATGGCAACATTTTTAAGTTCGTATATTAGCATATTGCACATCATAAGGAATATGGGTCATTGTAATGCGCAAAAAAAGCCAAAGAAACAAAGTAATATTCAAAACATGTACCACAACTGATTACGTAATCATAGAATCATATGGTATACTGTATATACTCATAGGACATATAGAATTCCCATTTGGTTCAGCAAAAATAAAAACAAATACATAATTATTTTGAGCAAAAAAAATACGATTCATAGTCATACATTTTTCAGTCTGATGCGATATGGAACCTATACAAAAATTTCGACCAAAAAATAAACTCTCTCTCACTATCAGCAACAGTGGCACACAGCCATTGTTGCTGACATATCCCTGTTGCCATTGTTGCTGATATCAGCACTGTTGCCACTCGGAAAAATGCGGGCAAAAATTAGCTTTTTTAGAGTTTTTAATTAATATCTCTGATTTTAGCCTTTTTTTTTTTTTTTCTTGGAAAAAGTGCACGTCAACCTTTACTAGGACTCATAAAGGAAAGGTAGAAAGTTTAGCTATAGTAGTGACTGAGTTATTAGCTAACAAACACACAGGCTTCTTCTTTAAATATATATATAGATTCAATAAATAAATTTATAATATCTCTTAATTTATATATATATATATATATTAAGATGTATATTAATATATATACATCTTATAATCTTTATAATACTGAAACGTAAAAAGTAGAAAAAAGTAAGATATTTAAAACTATAAAACACAAAAATTAATCAAAGTAATTCAAAAACTAAACCAAGGTGTTACATATCTTATCATATCTCTTCAGGGGGGTTAGTATCATGAGATAATACATAACGGAACATTTATGAAGCTGAATTACTAAATAAATAATTCAATGTAGCAAAAAAATTAAAACTATAGTTTTGTAGGCGTGAAATAAAATGAGGTAGTTAATCAATTCATTCATGTAATCCAGCCAAATAACGCCTAAAAACGAAGAATGTGGTTTAATATCAACCAAAAATGCAACGCAAAATAGCTACTGATTTAGCATACGGTGCAAGTGTAAAAAAAATGTAAAACAAACTTAAATAAATTTAATCCATAATAATGAAATAATTCAATCAAGTGAGTTAAATGCGGGAAATACACAAAGCATTTTCACATGCTGAGGTCAATTCAAATTCAGATTGGCAAGATTTTCGAAAGTGTCAAATTGTCATAGAAATAATCCGAATTTTAAGTAGCCAGTGCAATAAACTTTTGTTAGAAAAAAGGGAAATAAAATTTAAATAATTACTTTAAATAAATTAATACCTTGAAAGATATGTTGGTTGGTTAAAAGTTTGTAATATTTAAAATTTAACTCTTTACGCAATACCTTATATGTACACCTAAAAGAAGTGAAGGATAATCGTCAGTTATCTAAATATGCTAAATGTTATTATCTAATGATTCTGTTGGATGCCTGTGTTAAGTCCCCTCCCGAAATAATCATCGAGGAATAGATATCAGGCCGAGTGGATCTGAACCGAGTGAAAGTAATCTGAACATGTGTAACTGGTGACATCACAGAAATTTATGTTTTGTTTTGATTTCAATCATTACATTAAGTTTCATTTCAGATGGCTGGAAAAACGAATTGTTGAAGACTATTGATCCCGAGGTTTTGCCTGCTTTCTTGGGAGGAGACCGCACAGATCATGATGGAAACACAATGTGCAATACTATAGTAAGTAATAGCACATGTTTTTAACACATGAAGTGCAGAACTAGAGATCTCGCTTTATTCCACTGTTTACTAGCTGCTATATATACTATGCCAAGTCATCAAAATTATACAGAATATTTCAAAATATTGCACAGCTAAGCAAATCTTAAACAGTTGATTGTAGTCCTTTTAGTTATATGAAACTGATTAGTAAAAATATACGAAACCCGACATAACTAAAAAATATTTTTTGGTTATGTCGGGGGAAGGGACTTATAATTTGTATGTTTTCCCTAATTATTCTAAAGAAATTTTAGAAAAACTGAATTGCTGTATGAATAGTTGATTGGAAAAATTCATAAAATCTATAACGTAAGCGATGGGCTCTCAGAATATTAATCTTATATGCCGTACAAAACTGAATTTCGATTGACAGCAAAATTTCGAATTTTCAGTTGTATTTTTACAATGAGATCACTAAATTCGTCTGTTTAAAAATCAGTTTTTGGAAATCTATATTTGAAAACATTTCATTCCTTAGCAATTTATATACACTGTCTTCAAGCATTTTGCTTATGATTCTAAAGTTCTTATAAATTTGATCGTAAGAATACTGTTTTTTAAATTAATTTGGGCATGGAATTATTTTCTTCTTTCCCTTTCCTGCTCTATAGTAGAACTGAGAGATTCTAGCATTGTAACTGAAAAGTGTTGTGTGATCTGTACTACTGTAATAGCTTAACCTTCCGATGGAAAAAAGTATGACAGGTTGTTCTTTTGAGTTTTTAATTTAATATAACAATATAATTTCGTTTTCAACATCTTGGGAACAATGTCATACAATTTACAGACTGAAATGTCTGTGCAGAAGTACACTAGCTAGCCTTAAATCATTCTTTTCTTCTGTTTGACGAGTAAACAAAAACAGGAGGAAAGTCAGATGCAAACTCCCAGTTTAGAACTTCCTCTTCCACTCAGGGAGACTCCCACAGGAAATGACAGAATAGATGGGCTTTTTCTCATTGGAAACGAAATCCATCAATTGTGAACACATTGCTATAGCGGTACATACCTTAAATAATTTCTTAAACTGAAATAGTCGTTTGACACATGTTTTGTAGTGCATGCATTTTGAAACATACTATTAGAGATTTAATTTCAAATTTAACAATAAATTTAATTTTTCCTTCCACAAGAAATGTATTTAAAGAGGAGAAATGATAATAAAAGATGCAATGGAAATTACTGATATAATTTTTTTATTCCGAAGTTCTTTTTTATTTAACTTTTCCCAAATAATAAGTTATGTACTTAAAACAGAGCAACAAAAATTCCACGCACTTAAGTTACCTTGTTTATTTTATCATTTCCTCTCCACAGGTAAAGCATGGATGTTTGGTTCCTGAAGAGTATTATATGACCAAGAGCTCTAATCGCCTAAGTAGCCAACCAGGAGTTAAGAAACTATCTGTAGCCCGTCTCTCCAAAGTATGTATAGAACTGAACGTTGAAGAAGCAGGTTCATTGATTGAATGGGAATTTGAAACTGAAAATCGAGACATTGGTTTTGTACTTTTGCGCAAGGAGAGCAATAGTAATGATTGCACACCCAAAGAATTAATTCCTGAACAAAGAATAGACACTCATATGGCTACAGAAGCAGGAATGTACCAATGTGATCGTCCAGGAACATGTAAGTTAATCTAAAATACGTATTTGTGAATTTTTTCATGGATAACATTTCATGAATCCTTAAGTAAATTTTCTCTCAAAAATATGTGCTTTCCATTATAAATGAAGATAAATTTTTCATTACTTACTTTCTCGTAATGGATCACAGCATTAGCAGATAAGCAGGACCTGATCACAGACTAAGACATAAGACCCGAGTTTAAGGGCCTCCTTCAAAGGGATTATAATTCCTTCTAATACTGTTTTTCTCTCACAAAATGAAGGAAGTGAGTGTTAGAATGCTCTGCCTATGTTATAGTGACTCAGGCTTATCTTAATCGCCTGTGGAATTAAAAGTGAATAACATACTTACACCTCACTTTAGGCTTTCTCAGGTCAGCCTCACTCGAGGTACTGGGCAAGATATCCTTAAGATAACATCTCTTTCAGTCTTTCCATTCAGAGTGTATATTTTATAACAGTATTTCATGCATCGAGCTTAAATAACTGCACAATTATACCATTTATTAAATGCATATTGCCATCATTACTCTGGTTTAGAAAATATATATTGAATGTAAACAAAAATTATTTTAGATTTTATGGATAAGAAAAACGAATAGTGCTTACAAGCAAACTTTGTTATTTTGCCGTTTAGAACAAACAGCCTTAAAAATCTCCCCACGGAAAAAATATAGTGGAGCAAAAAAGTTTGAAATAACAAGATTTTCAACATTCTCGCCCCATACAGGGTAAAAGTAAAAGCAGAAGCCATATTTTTGATAATGCATCCAGAAAGCCTGAAGCTGGACATCACGAATTATAATGTCTTCTTACAATGTTAAAGGAATTTTTGAGAAAAAGGCTATTTTTGAAAATAAATGAAGCACCTATTTTTTTTTTCCTCAAAAAAGGAAGTGATTCTTATTTTCAGCTTCTCTGCCCCGTTCTAAATTCAATTCCAGATTTTATACGAAGGTATGGTTTTAATCCCTTTCCATGTATTGAAGAAGTGATTTGTATTTAAATTCACAGACCCTCTAACTAATGAACAAAAGAAATTTGATTGCCCTTATGTCAAGTTTAGTTATCACAAGTTAGATTTTGACGCTAATTGCTAACGGATAAGTTTCGATCTTCAACAGTTTAGCTGATCGATAGTCGGGAAAAGAATGATTGAGTCGTGGGAAAACAGTTCTGTTAGCTGAATATAAAACCGACTCCATCTAGCCAGCAGTACAAATACGCTATAATTCGTTAAATCTGAAAAAATCCCAAACGCATTAAAGTGAAATATAAACCACTGCGGTTTTCATAGCTAGGGGAATCATTTTCATCTTTACTGTGTTTCATCTTTACTGTGGTTACACCCCTGCTTTGAGGCTATTATACTGTACCAAAGCATTATGTAATAATTATCTATGTTTTGTTGTATATTGTTAAACGAACTAATTTTGATTTTTCTTTAACAGATATTTTGGTCTTTGACAATACTTACAGCTGGTTCCATTCTAAAGAAATTTACTGCAAGGCTACTGTTGCAAGTCCTAAAGGTCAACAAATTTATGTGCTGGACTAATAATTAAATTCCCCAAGTGTGCATTTGTGATGAATTGTATATATGTCTGATAAGTTTCAACTGACGATTATTTTATTGGCATCTTGAGTTTCCCCATCATTTCGTCAGAAATATAATAATTTTAAACTGCTATTGTAAGAATTTAAATGCTTATTACGGCATTTTAAAATTTTTACTGAAACATTTAAAATGGGTTTTGCTGGATAGGAGAGAAAAACGTCTGTACTTCAACATTCTCTGAGTGGTTTGTATTTGTCAATCCTTTGACTAAAACTGCTTCACAAATGGAAACGGTGATTAGCGTTCTAACTAAGCCAGCTACAGCTTAAATCCCGGTTAAGGTATGGAAGTTCGTGGTTTAAAATCCACTGGAGATTCTGCTTTAGCTATCTCAAATGCAAGCAGATAAAAAGAATAGCATGCACTTGCAGTTTAAACCAAGAAATGCCTAACGAATGCATTACTTAGGACACCGTAACGCTACAAAAATGAAGCATTCATCTTTCTGTTTCAACCTATTACTTTTAGTCTTTGAAAATATTGTGCAGGTTAGTCATTAAAAAGTATATATCTTAATCAAATATGATGCAAAGTCTTATATAATGTAATGAAAAATAAGCATAACTATATTTTTCTTGACGTAAAATAATTTAAATGTTCATGTGTTTGTTCATAAATTATATGTTGCTATCATGCAAAGTTCTAGCAATTGTACAAAACACGGGGTCTACATTTATTTTGCATTAAATTATTTTTCACACATAATGAATAGAATTTCCTGGTTTATCAACAAAATTTATATGAGGTACATCTTTAAGTTCTGTATTTGAAATACATTTCTATGTTCCTACTCCACTAAACTTGTAATTTCCTTGTAGTAGTGCACCTGAAAAATCATTTTTCATCTCCAATAAGAATTTTGTAAATATTTTCATTTGGGATTTCACTACTTTTCAAATAATATTCTCAGAATATCTATTATTTGAATTCCGGCCAGTCCGCCCACAACTCTATTTATTTCATTTAAATGCCATTAGAAAACTATATTCCTCACTTTTAGCAAGCACGTAACCAAAAAATTGTTTCAAATCAAAATAATGTAACATTTGTTTATATTTTACATAATATGTTTTTTCCAAATGCAGTACGTGTTGTAAAAAAATGACTTTTTAAGCACTCAGGAAACTAAAGCTATTAATGATATAAATTTCTTTCAATATGTAAAGAATTCTCCTTGCTACAGTTTTTGAAGAACTTTAAATTCCAGACTGATTGTGATAATTTAGATTTTTCAACTATCAGTTAGTACAAGATCTCATAATCATACATATATTTTTCTGCAGTTCTTCTATGCACTTCTTTAATACTTGCTTTTAAGAGAACATTCTGAAAACTAATTCACCATTACTTTATTGTTGATTGATCCCTCATCAGTGATATATTTTCATTGTCATAGTTTATGTGTGGATATTACATAATGGAAAAATATTGCAGTTTTATATTGTGCATCATTTAAGTGTAAAGGCATTTTCAGTGCGCAAGATTTAACATGTGCGTGTATGTGTGTGTATATATATAGAGAGAGATTGATATACATATTGCATAATAAATATTTTTTTATTCCTTGTGTTTATAACTTCCTTATAATTATTTACGAAAAATTTCAATACAAAGTAATACTTAATTGGATCACAATTATAATCGAATTTAAGAGTAAACCGTTTTATTCACCGAAAGCTTGTAGTTCTTACGGACAATTTAACTTTGTGCGCCTGACATACTTTTAAGTATTCTCCAGCAGCTTCTGTCGTAAATATGCACACCAAACCATATTTCCGCTGTGTATTCAGGAAGTAAAAAAGATCTAGTAAAATAGCTTTTTTTTCCCGCTACGGTGTTCAGTTCTTTGCACTTTGCGTCTATATGGAATTTTAATTCTACGAAATCACAGTAAAATTTAGTATATATTTAATCAACAAATATATCAACAATATTGAGACATAGCATGACGTTTTCCATTATTTATTCTTTGGTTACCTTCCATTTACACTTCGAAGTCTTTATAAATAAACCAATACTATACGAGTAAAACTTATTAATTTCTCAATATATATTTAGAATTTGTATATAGCAAACTGAACACAAATTTAATTAGTATTTAAACAAAAGTATGGTATAGATAACCAGTCATAGATAATGGACCACAATAATTAAATATTAAACTATTAAGGCAGTTTATGTAGGATAATGATACCTGTATTGGAAATACAATATGGTTTTATTTTTCCCCTTGATGCGATTAGACCTCTTAAGATTTTTCGTTCTGTCACCTTTGTGCTTAGTGAAATATTATTTATCGCCTTATTATAATTGTTTTTAAAGGCAATTTCTAAAATTTTATCATTAAAACTTTGACAAATTATTGCCTACACATACGGTTTTTGGAACTTAACAATTATAACAAATTATGACCTAAAATCAAATTTTAAGTGCATAGCTGAATCTGCATTCATTTAAGCATAAACCAGTTTTGCAAAGAAACTCAACAGTGGAAGCATTTTTTATGCACTGGTATGATTTATAAGTATAATCTAACATTTAAATTCTCAATTTATTGATTACGAAAGCGGAAATTCCATTCTTTAAAGCTCCTAAATTAAGTATTATAACACTTCATTTTTTTTCTCATCAGAAAGGATTAAATAATTATAAATTTAAGTGTATATTAATGGCAAAGTAAAACAATTTATTTAACTTCCCAGTTTATAAAACTGTTAGCGAGTTATCACCTCTGTTACCACTTAACTACCAAGACTCGAAGTTAAAACTAACACCAAAACGTCATAAGTCTCAACTTCCTATTAATATAATCAAAAATTACAAACAAACTATGTGACGTCTCGTCGACTTCAATAACAACGACTGGAAGGCATGCTAAAGTTTAAAACGTGATTTTAACAACCAAAACGTACTCTGATCTTCCACGGCCTATTGGCTAAGATCAAAGAGTAGTATCACTTTGGATTAGATAGGAACTAGCTTAATTTCTAATACTTGCTGAACTCCTCCATATCTACAATGGCTCTAAATTTCTAGTCTGCGAGCATCTGGACGGCAGTAGTACGGGACGAATTCTGGTAGGCTTTCAGTTAAGATAAATTTTAAACCCTGCCGCATATATCAGCGAGTATCGTGACAGGACAAGACACATAGGGAGAAAATTAACTAACTTTCAGTAAAACTTAAATCACAAGTGCCACAAACTTATACATTCGATGAGATAAACTGAAAATTAATATTAACAATATCCCTTGTATTCTGCATACCAGTAGCTCTCAATAACCCAAATACCGAGGCTATTTTCATTGTTTGGTCAGGAGGCTTTGCTTAAGCTGTTCTTTTTCACCTCAATCTATAGTATACAATAGATCATTTTATGCACAATATAAAGAACTATTTTATATTGCATATATACACTAGTGTGTAAAACTTTCAACATATAAACACAAAATCGTTGAAAAGAGTTTTTGAGATCAGTACAGTAGTAAATAGCTCAGTAAAAGAAGGCTGCATGGGCAAACATCAGCACCATGACGTCAGAGATTACGTTAGGGCATGTAAAACATGGACCTTATAAGACATAGACTAACCCGGTGGGTGGGGCGCGCGTCACCCACATGTCGGCAAGAAAGAGTAGGGATGATCTGGTTTACTTTAACACTGAAACCTATGGTGTTTGTATCACATAACTCTTTTTAATTATTAAATGTGATACGTTGGACAGTGATGAGATTATGAAAGCCACAGTTTTTTCCAAATAGGATTTAATATATCTCATTCAGGCACTTTTTAGTGCATTGCGCGCATTTTTTTCACGCGTAATTCTTGTACAAACATCTTTACTTTGGTAAAACAGTAAAAACTCTAAGCACAAAATTTATGAATTTAATTTTGCTTACAAATAACGTAAAATTAAATAAGATTGATAGTACCTGATGCTTTGAAATAAATAAGGTAAAATTAAACAAGATCTGATAACTTTTTTTAAAAAATTTAATGCCCATTTTCAGGCAGTGATTTTCAAAACTATAATAACATTACAAAACAATCATTTATTTGATTATATCATCATTAACTTATTAACATTAAAGTGGAATATTTATATTATTATAGAATTCGGAGCATAAAATTTTCTGAGTGTAATGAAGGGGTTGGAGGTAAAATAAAATCTAGAAGCATTCCGATTTTATATTACGCTCAAAAGGAACCTTTCTTTAACGTTTTGTGTGTTACCTATATTTATTGAATATCATGTTCTTCGTCCGTAAACCACATACATTTGAAAACAGCATATCTTTAGAATTTCCGCACTGGAGATAAAACTGTTATTTTCCGAACAGTGCTCTGTCTGAACTCGTTGAGTTTGTTAATCAAAAATTCGTTAAAGTTTTACAAAATATGAAATAGATTAAAACAAATCCGAAATTCAGCCGTTCAGATGCCCATGTTCGGGTGGAGGATTACATTATTCAAAATTTGATGGCTCAGGATACTGTCGTTTTTGTCACAGTGCGAGAAACATACATGTATTCATGCAGATTCTTCATTATTTAATTTCTTTAAATATAATACAGGGCGATAATATTTGGTAACAACAATTTGCAAGGAGAGACGGACATTTATACTAAAACAGCAGAAAATGCCGCTTCGAAACTAACAGCCTTTTTGGGATAATAAATTAAATTAACAGTAAATAAAAAAAATCTTATGTAGAACTAAAATAAATTTAAAAAATAATCACTATAAAATACAAGCAAAATTAATTATTACGGTTAAATACAATTTTAATATTAGAATTAAATGTATAAAAATTATTAAGGAGTCAAAAGTGTTTATCACTATGATGTATTATGAAATATAATTGAAATAAAATTCCTTTATAGAAATTGTGCTATAATATTCATCTATAATTTTAAAAAAGCAGCCCAATTTAGAATTTTAAACAAAACTTTCAAAAATTCGTTTTTAAATATTGTAGTACTTTTTACTTATTTACACCAATAAAAAGCATAAAAAGTGCAAGAGAAAATTGCTTGTTTGAAATTTTTTATTAGTTCAAATTAAAAATATTTTTTTCTAAAAGAAGTAGTTACAAATTTCCTTACAGCATAGGAAAAGCTGAAAAAATATCCAGCCCTGAAAGCATGCAATAGCTTTATAATTATTTAGAACGTTAATTATGTTTGATAAGTATGCTAAATTTTTAAAAATGAATCTCAATTTCAAAAATAAAAATATGGAGAAATTCTAATTTGTGAAATGAGGGGCTACAACCAGCTTTTTCTTGACAATTATACCAACTGCAATAGCCAACCATTGTAAGTTTCTGCAAGTTGTCCCTACTTCTCCGGATGTGATGAAGGTGACAGCCGGGAATGCGTCAGAAGAGGGAGAAAAGTCATTTGGGTTAGTCTATTTCTTATAAGGTCCATGATGCAAAACACGAGAAGTTAGCTCTCACCAAGGAGGTTAGAAAAGACTATGCTAACCTCCTTGGCTCGCACAGTGGAAGACAACTTTAAAAAGAAAGAAAGGCGCAATTTCAAGCATTCTTCTGCAAATGAAAGTGAGATCGTACGTGCAGCCATACAAGAAAACATCAGGACGTCTTTAGACGTGGTAGGATGATTAATAACCTTGACGTCTGTGGCCTTGGAAGAGCTTAGAAAACCTACAAAACAACAGGTACAGCTGTAGAATAGTCCATCTATTGTTATAATCGAACAACGGTCGAGTGCTTAAAGGTCATATCACACATTCAAAACGTTTTGCAAGAACAAATCTTTAGAGCAATTTTTCTGCATTATCACATAATATTAAACAGCCGATCACTACGGCTCATTTTGGAGTTACCGTGTAAAAGGGAAACTACAAATGATGGTCGATGACGGAGGATTCGATTCTGTTAGCCGATTGGTTGTTGAAAAATAACAAATAGTATTCTTTTTTTTTTTTTTTTGGAAAAGAAAGAAAAAATTCGCGTGTCTTTTCTTTAAATGGTAAGAGAACTGGAATGCCGACAACTTGCCTCGCGCTCAAATCTCAGAGGATGAGATAGCTTTATGGGCGTTTTCGTGGTTTCCTGGCATACCACGCATAGAATTGGATACTGAGCGCCGCCTGAGATAACCACTGACCTGACTTTGTTGTAAAAGTCTTACAGTGTTAATAGTCATCCTGGCAGAAGGGAAAATTTCCTCCGTGTAAAAATATACATATAAATATTACATGGGCATACAAGGCCTGTGTATAAGCATAGATATGTTGATTACAATCATTGTCTTGTACAAGTTTACATATGATATTAGTTACATAAATCATGACAGCTATGTGTACATTTAAACATTATCTGAGTTCATATTTACAATACTTTTACCTGGAGATAATCAAAGTAAACTTGTAATTCATTTACACATTGACTGGATTTTCAATGTCATTTAAACTGCTTTACAATATTATTTTTATCAAGTACATACAAACTGGACAGTAATATGCTTACATTACAATAGTTTTGCTCTTACAGTCCTGTTATTATTCTACGGGGTAAAGCTATTTTAAGAACATAGTGTTGAT